GTAAACAGTATAATGTAAATAAAATGAGACCAAAAGTCAATATCTGGAAATCAAAAGTAAATACAATTCCAAATGGACAGGCATTTACGTAAAATTAATTGTACTGGTATGGGTAGGTGGAAAGCACTTGCTTAATTATTGTGAATTCTCAATGGGCAATGCTTAAATGAAAATAAGCTTTCCAATTTACTCCAGAAAGTTTGCCAATTTCAGAGTTTTCAGGAAGCTGCTGCTTTAAAAGTCAGAGGGGCAATAACACTCTTCTATGAAGGACGTTTCCCTCATGTAATCAGTGATTCCAAATGTACGTTTCTGACTGGTATAGAGTAGAATATTTTACACTCATGAAAATGTAAAATATCAGCAGAATTTTTATTCAAAATATCTAAGATGTAATTATTTATATACTTTATTGAACATCTTATACTAATAGGATTATTTGAGATTAAATGTGCCCTCTTAGCAACCACAACTGTGGAAACTTTATGAATAGTTACAAATAATTCATACCCACTGAAATACCAAAATTTGTGAACATAAAGTCTTTAAAAAGAAACATATGAGAAAAATATTAACTTGAAGTTCTCCTCTGTTATATTAATAGTTCCTGGCAATAATAGCATTGCCTTCAGTACCATAACTCTACAGTTACATATCTGCGTGCTAAATAATTAAGACTAAATTTTATGATAGAAGTATAATTTGTACACTATCTGTGTCTTGTCATCATATTATAATGTATATTATTCAGGTCAGGGGTCAACTAACTTCTGTCAAGGGCCAGATAGTAAAGAATATTACGTAGATAGTTATATAACAAGAAGGAAAATTATTTTAACAAAATTTTACTGATAAAATCTGAAATATAATATTAATAATTGATTACAAAGTTTTATCATTCAGATCTACTAATAAAAATGGATGACTAAAATTTGAGTTTCATATAATTATTTTTCACCATGAAGAATTCTTCTTTTAATTTTTTCTAGCTAAAAATGGAAAAACCATTCTTAGTTCATGGACTATAGAAAAACAGGCAGCAGGCGAGATTTGGCCATGGTCAGTAGTTTGCCAACCTCTCAGTTAAATACTACATTGTCTTACAATTGATGCTACATAATTCTATTAATCCATTTTCATTAAAGAGGTAAGTCAATTTAATCTTGATATACAGATTAGCTTCATTACTGACATTGTTTATATATGATATAAATTCCAAAATTAATTGCAAAAGACAATAATTATACTTATCGCTTCAAGTTAGCAGTAAGTATCATATGAAAGTCATGTTTGATCCCATGTTAGCCTATGACTATGATATCCCCAGAGGTAGAGGGTGCCCTTATCAGAGATTATTTGGGGTGCAAGCAATAAGAAATGGGAAGAATGAACCAAATGGATGAAAATAAATGACCATTGTTATTAGAAACGTGAGTCAAAGTACACGTTGATCTTTACAACCGAGGGTCAGCCATTTATCCATAGCATCATAAAATTATATTTTATCAGCACTTGACTGTTGCACTCTAGCTATTTTTTGCTATAAAAATAAATTTTAAGGAGGGGGAGGAAAAAAAGAAACTTCTAGAAAGAATTACAAGGTTGAGTTTTAACAATTTGAGAATCTGTCCAGTTGAGTCCCAGAGCCCACAAGAGTGATCATCTACTCAGGAAATTGTCTTCATCTATTCTTTAGTGCTTCTCTCAGAGTAGATATAAGACATAGCCTTTGTTTCAATTAGAGAAAAGAAAGAACACAGTGAGAAGTTAATTTCTAATTAAGTCATTGGTAAGCTACTTGGTGAGCATTAATTATTCTGAGTAAGGCTCAGTATACCTGAGGCTAGAGAGCCTCCATCACCTGATCTGCAGAGTAAAAAGTAAAGGTAAAACTCTTACCAGCCTTACTACTTACACCTGTTCCTTCTTTTGTGGTGAGTTGACCCTTCCTTTAAGAATGTCTTAATGTTCACAGTCTGTGGATTCGTAAGAGCAATTATAAAATAGAGAAATGTCTCCCTTCTTAGTGTATGTCTCTTAGTAGCAAGTAAAGGAACCAACAACAGCAATGCAGCTCTCAAAGAGCAATCTCTTCTACAAGGATCTGTCTCTAAACTTTCATGAAAAGGACACCTCAATATAATAACAACTCATCTTGACCACAACAGAGAGAAATGAATTAGCGTTGGTTCACTGCCTTCGAAATGTCAGATAGGGCACCAGTAGGCAAAGAATGTTGTCCATTCAGCATATTTCATCTTTAGACATAAGAATACTTAACAGGGCCACCAAAACCATGCAAGCACGTGGGTCTAGCAGTTTATACATATTTATACACACATATACATATATACACCCAGGAACATATACATATATATGAACATATATGTGCATATGTATGTATTTGCACAGAATCCTTTTAATGTAAAGTTTCCCAGCCGATTAATCAGATCAATTAACATTCAAATTACAGTGTGCCTAATCCCTGAGCTGTCCTGGGTTTACAGAGTTCTGTCCCATGACAGTTTTCATATTGGCAGCTTTGGGCTGACTCAGTGGATGACAGATTTGCTCCTGGTGCATCAGCTGTAAATAAAGGGAAAAGGTCTTTGTATTTACCTGAGTGACAGACTTCTAATTTTCTTTATTTATATTCAGTTCTCCCTGACTTTAATATTGGTATTCAAAATTGATTCACTTTGTGTTAATATAAAATCTTGTCCAGAAGAATGATTGGACTTATTATAATACCTTTAAAATGCTTATGCTGGTTGATGGTTGCTTGTCCATGCACTAAATTCCAACCTTGCTGGGAAACATACATACTTGTTCTTCCAAAAAGGATAAAACATATGAAATACTCTCTACCATGACTTGGTAACTAGCAGACCTTGCTTTTTCCAAGAAGAAAATACTTTCTAAATATTGAGAAATAAAATAAAAATTAGGAAACGAAATATTTTCTTTTATATATACTGCTACAAGTCATGCTGTCAAAATATTAACAAAGAATTACTAAACTCAACTTTAATCATATGAAGTCATTTAATTACATTTTTGACACCTGAAGAACAGTCAACTCTTAACATGTATGGTAAGAACTCCAACTTTAATATTGAAATGTTCCTTATAATTCAAATTTTTATAGGTTCTGTAAGTTCATCAAATGTTTGGGGCACTAAACTACTTCCTGAAATTTTAAGTGTGGGGGAGAGGCCCAGTCAGGGCAGAAGTGAATGTTGTACTTTCCTCAGATCTTCTAAGCAGGTCACCTTCCCTTTCTTGAAAAGATGCACTACAAAAGAAAGCTATTTGATGTTGGTCTGCATCTTACGCTTTTTATTGGGCTTCAAGAAAACAAACAAACATGAACAACTAGTAGCCCAATTAAGTATATCAATATATTGTAAATCCAACTAGAGGTGGCATACTGCAAAGACAAGATCAAGCCTAGGCCAGATTTAAGCTCTGCTTTTCTTAAGGAAGGATGCTCAGGGTGATGTGCTTTACATTGTAAGAGTGACCTCTAGTGCCTTTCTTTTTGGTTGAACTTCAGTAGTTGGAAGATGAATTACTTATGCCTTTTCTACAAAACTTCTGTTTGGATGTAGGTGTCTGCATTGTTGTTGTTTGTTTGTTTGTTGCAATGTTTGTGAAATGCTACCATTGCAAGATTCCAAGATGTTGACTAGGTGAAATTACGCAAATTTTATTGACTTAGGGATTTTCATAAACCCACATTAAAACTGAGTCTGAAATACAGTGCAGCACCTGGAGTGAAGTTCTCCTATTTCAGAGTGACAGATACACCACGACGTTAAAGGAGCTCAATACTAAATGGAAACCCAGAATCACAGCAGCCATGCAGTGTGAATGAACATTTGGCTTGTGCCAGTAAGTTCATAACATTTTCCCCACATCAGAACCCCTTAGCGTAGTGAAGTGATGTGCTATAGCAAAAGTCTGATTACTGACTTGTGTCTCCCAAACCTAAACCTAGTGATACAGCAGCAATATAAATGTCTGGACAGGCCTCACAGCCCTGGTCTTAAAAAGCAAATGAGCTTTTCCTTTAAAATCCAAGAAACAGATGAAAAGTTGTATTTGCCTAGCCTGTTTATCATTCATCAGGAGGGGAAAATTCTTTCATTTAGAGAATTTAAGCCAAATATAACTTTTAAAACTTTTTCTATCTCTAATAAAAAGTGGATGAAGGGAGTCCACCAAATTATTTCAGATATTTAAATTAGAAATAAGGTTGTAATAAATCCTCCCTGAACTGATTATATCCAATCACAAATTTATGAAGTTAAACATTCAACCACAACAGAATGCTACTTTTGAAAGATCACCTGAATGGTTTTTCCCTTAAGCAAAATGTAGAAATCGGCCCCTCTTTCAGGGGTGCTCTGGGACTCATTTTCTCAGCACTGAGAACACAGCTCTTAATACCAAGGTTTGCCTTCACCAGTTCTGCTGCTCCTGAAGTCTGCAGTACATTCCAGTTATTAGCCTGCATCATTTTAAAGATGTAGCCAGCTACGGGTCTGCCAAATTGCAAACTTCAGAAATCTAAGCTTATGCAGCATAATGTAAAGTCTGCCTGTTGTTTTTCTGTTAGACATAATTCCAATAAAATTCAATAATCCTCCAAAAAGGAAAAAAAAAAAAAAAAGAAGACATTTGCAGGCTATTCCCTGGTTAAGATGTTAATCTAATGTTTTACTAGAACTTAAGCCTTCTCAATGAATATTCAAAGACAAGCGGGTAAGATTCTGTTACTAGACAAAAAGAGAAATGACACTTTGCCTATTTCAACCAGACCTAGAGGAAAGACAAGTGTAAGCCAGTCATATTTGCCGGATTTCTGAGTGATGCTTCATTTAATAGCAATATGCTTTGCAGCAATTCCAACTGCAAATAATAATCATAAAAACAACAGAATCAAAGTTTTGCAGACAGCCCCCTTGCAAGTTTTAAATCATTTGCTATATACTTACAGGAATTCCCAGCTTCGACTCTCTTCCAATTTTGAGTAGATAACAGAAGTAGCGTCTTGAGGACAGCTCCAGTGACAGACCTCATGTTGACATTTATTGGGCCCCCCCAAAAGATCTTGAGAGGCTCTCTGAGCGCTCCAGTTCTGTTCTCTGTCCCTCTCCCAGCTCTGCCTGGGTCTTCAGCACCTCTAGCTCTCGCTCGCGCTCTCTCTCTCTCTCTCTCTCTCTCTTCCGCCCTCCTTCCTTCCCTCCGTCTTTTCTCCTTCCCTCCTCTCTCTCTCTCTCTCTCTCACACACACACACAGCCCAGACTCCTCACTGAAAAGCACTCAGCATCTTTTCTAACAAGCATCCACACTGCCGAAGCCACGCCCACTCCTCGCAGCAGCGGTCCCAGAAATTGACAGCAGCATCCTTCCTTCCAAACACACAGCAGCGCTCAGAGCTGCACCACGCGCCGCGCGGGTGATGAAAGCCGTACCCAGAGGCGCGGCCTCCTGATCATGGGCTTCCTTGGGGCTCCCTCCCCTCTCCTCTATTTCCCAATAATCCTTAACCCTTTTCTCCCTGCTGAAGGTGTGGGTGCGGGGAGGGCCGTGGCGGTGGAGCCTCCTGATTTTCTGGAGGTCTTGCATTTGGCAGAGCCAGTCAACCTACTGAGCTATTCCTGATTATTCCGGAGTGCATCCAGGTAAAATTGCATTATGTTTCAAAACAAAAAGCACAAAATAAGACAGAAATAACTAAGTAAATTGTAGCTAAAACAGTCCTCAGGGAAAATACTTGCTGTTATTTTTGTCTGTTTCTATAAAACTATCCTCTTCAGCTAAGGTGCTAGGATTTAATTATGGAAATTCTTCACATGGGAACAGGCATTCCTGCTTGGCAGATATTTAAAATCATCTGGTAATAGTCTGTAAGAAATTAACATTTCTTATTTTAGTGCTTCAGGAGTACAAATCCACAAATGAAATGCTTTGGATAGATTCATTTTGATGAATGCATTATGCTGTGAATATGCAGTAACATTCTACAATCAAATTCTTTAATAACAATTCCCCAAAGGCCCAAAATGGAAAATGATGGAATACTGAAGAAAGGGAACTACCCCCCCAACACGTTCACACCAACACCAAACAATGTTAAAATGTAATTTAAATGGTTTAAAGGAGAGAGGAGTAAAGTTGAACTCAGAAGATCAATGACTACAGAAAAATTACTCTTCTAATGGCTGATCCATGCATGGATACTAATATTTCTTGAATTGACTATTAAAATATTTAAATAATAGAGTTAATATCACATAATGAGAAGTATATCACATAGTGTCACAGAGGATAAATAATCTGTTTAAAATAAATGCAATATTTTTTTACTGATAACGTGCTAGATTTTATAAAAATGGAAATGCTGGAGTTCTCAAGCACCTCTTTATTGGTGATTAAAAATTGGAAGAAACATAAGCCTTTAGCACCAGCAACCTTGCTATGGAATGAATGAAGGTGGCGGGGAGTCGGGGTGGGGGGGGATGACAGTGACACCCACAAGAGCTAAACATATTTGTTTAGCTCACGCCT